CCCCCCCACCTCCAATTTTAAAACATCAAGATGTAGTCTAATCCCATAGTGTTCTGTCCGTAGAAAATTCTTCTTTCTAAAAAGTGCTTGAAGCGAAGGTCACAAGCGAAGCCATAACAATATTGTAACCAACCATCCATAATACATAATATTATGCTTATGCCTGTAGGGGCCTATAAGCACACCACTTTAGGAAATGGAAAGGCACTGCATGCAATCTGTAGCGAGCTGTGTCGTTAACTGCGATCATACCAAGTTCCTTGCTATTACTTCAACTCTTTACCTGATATTGATAGAGAAGAGGTGTCCTGAGGAGACAGAAGAAGAGACAGACTACCTGATAGGAAAGAGATGCTGTGACTGTGAGGAGGCAGTTTAGTTTTAGTAAGAGTTTTACGGCACTTGCATCACAATAAAATCATGAAAGGGCCGAAAATGAGAGATGTTACAAGAGAGAAACAAACACGAAAAAGAAGGACGAGAGATAAATACTGTACGGTAGATGGTTGATGGGAAAGAAGAAGCAAACCACACCAGAGCAGCCGCCAACCACCCACTGTGAGGAGACATAAGAAGAGACAGACAGCCTGGTAGGAAAGAGGTGATATGAGGAGACATTAGAACAGACAGACAGCCTGGTAGGAAAGAGGTGATATGAGGAGACATAAGAACAGACAGACAGCCTGGTAGGAAAGAGGTGATATGAGGAGACATTAGAACAGACAGACATCCTGGTAGGGAAGAGGTGATATGAGGAGACATTAGAACAGACAGACAGCCTGGTAAGAAAGAGGTGATATGAAGAGACATTAGAACAGACAGACAGCCTTAAAAGAAAGAGGTGATATGAGGAGACATTAGAACAGACAGACAGCCTGGCAGGAAAGAGGTGATTTGAGGAGACACTAGAACAGACAGACAGCCTGGTAGGAAAGAGGTGATATGAGGAGACATTAGAACAGACAGACAGCCTTAAAAGAAAGAGGTGATATGAGGAGACATTAGAACAGACAGACAGCCTGGCAGGAAAGAGGTGATTTGAGGAGACACTAGAACAGACAGACAGCCTGGTAGGAAAGAGGTGATATGAGGAGACATTAGAACAGACAGACATCCTGGTAGGGAAGAGGTGATATGAGGAGACATTAGAACAGACAGACAGCCTGGTAAGAAAGAGGTGATATGAAGAGACATTAGAACAGACAGACAGCCTTAAAAGAAAGAGGTGATATGAGGAGACATAAGAACAGACAGACAGCCTTAAAAGGAAGAGGTGATATGAGGAGACATAAGAACAGACAGACAGCCTTAAAAGAAAGAGGTGCTGTGAGAAGACAGAGAAGAGACAGAGGTATCATCTCACCCACCAGTGTCACTGTTGTATCCGCTGCTGCACGAGGCAG